TAATTTCATTGAATTTACGTTTGCAAATAAGGTATTCTGTAATACCTTTTATCGCCAATAAGATGAAAAGAAGGCGGTCTAATGCTTTCAACGGCAAATCTGGACATCCTCTTACCAAGGTCCTCTTATCAAGGATGAGGACATTCTTCGACGATATAAAGAACACTTTGACGAACTACTTAACATTGAGCAACCTCAGGAAGACTCGTCTGAAGAGCGAGATGAAGTCACAGTAGTTGTAAAAAGCTTCACAACTAGCGGGGCTGATTGAATTGATGAAATCCGTACTCATGCTTAAACCTTAAGGAGAACAAAGCATCTTGTGACTAATAGGTGTCTGTAAAACTACCATGGCACCAGTAGACTGGAGATGAAGGGTTGTAGTACTCGTGTTGAAGAATGGAAAATTATAGGAGGTGCTTCAACTATAGGAACATTATCATATTAGGCCTTTCAGGGGAGGTTATTAGCAATGGTGTTTGAAAGTAGGTAAAGATTTGACTGAAAGATCCAAGAAGATGAGTGTGGCTGAAGGTCGATTCAGGGCATTTCTGTTCTGATATTTGCTTTACGCTAGGTTTCTGAGAAATCATGGGAGTTCAGTCATCCGATCTACATATGCTTTGTAGATCTGGAAAAAGCCTGTGACTGCATCCCGCGAAAAAGCGCTGAGGCGCCTGCAAACATATGGGATCGATAGTCAGTTGCCATAAACCATCCATTTACATATGTTAATAAGAGGTGCTGGATCAAAGGAAATTTTATTTAGTGGAGTCGTTTCAACGCCAGCAGTGGTCTTCGCCAAGGCTGCGTTGTGTTCGTTTTCTCGTTTGCGTTATACATGTATAGTATAGTCGAGAGCAGCCAATGCAATGAATGTATCGGTGTAGGAGATATGAAAACGAGAAGGCTGCTGTTTTATTGGCATCTTCTGAAACTGATCTTCAGTGCTCTCTAAAATGGTTCACGAGTGGGGCGTGGCTAGCATGAATGTGAACGTGTCTAAAACGAGAAGGCTCGTGTTTTCTCATTCTCCTACCCATTCAAGAAGGTGGTGAAGTTCAAGTACCTTGAGGTGGTATTTACTGATGATAGAAAATGGGAGGAAAAGATCGACCGACGGATTGAAATGATAAGAGACGTTCTGCGTGAACTGACCTCAGAGGTTGTGACTTGTGCGGAGGTGGGTTTGAAGTAAGCTCCATGTTTAATTTGATACGTACTTGTAGTCATGGGTCATGATTAAAAAACTTCGAACGCAGATACACGCGGTTTCCTTTAGGACTGACGCTAGTCTAAAAGATCTCAAAGTAAGCGGAGTGTTCTGTTAAGTTTTAGAATGGCACCCAGTTTCCGCCCTGACTCGTTATCAACCACGTAGAATCCATTTCGTTCTGTGAATGTTAAAATAAGGTTAAATATGCCTTTTGTTACATACAGATGCTCTAAGCTTTGTGCGTCTTGCAAGTACCGTGATGCGTCACAGCTACTGTATCGTGCTTCAGAAACGGTCTGCAGAAACGTGAGGAGAAGAGACAAAAACGTTGCCGTTTAACAGAAGTGGAACGCTTAATAAAAGATATTTCCTACCGTGAATTATCGCCTTCGATGCTCAACTTAAACGTCCGCGAGCTGCGAAAATTAGGCAATAAAGAACGCCAATTCCCACTGGTAGAGAGACAGGGTTCTAAGCGCAAGCAGCAGGAGTTGAAGCAAACGTTGACAGCCCGCTTGACGGATATTGTGAAGAAGGACGATTCAGCAATTGGCGACCGACCGACTGGGGGTCAGGATCCCAACGGCCGTCCGAACAACCGGACAATTGGAGGTGCGCAAGCCAGCACAGAAGAATGGCCGTTTCAAAACACTTCGTGTCCATACTTCCTGCGCTCGTGTAAGTAGACGTTTCTATAGTTTGTTATTATTCTTATCGTTTGAGAATGCATTTGCAGTAAAAAGTCATGGTTCAGGTCGAAATCGAAAGGACAAAGGGACTTTTGCTGTTGTGTGATCGGGCGATGTTCGACAATCAGACAAATATTGCGAAATATTACCATTCATGGCGTTTCCTCCATTTTTTCTCACACCTACCATTTTTTGTGACAGGAACCTCGTAGATCAGAGTTAATTACGAATTTTTTTCGACAGCAACTCTGCTATATGATGGCCACCATTCATTGGTGATCAGCAGTGAACCGACCTATGTGCTTAGCAAATACCATTTTGGTCCCCCTTCATTCCGGGACAACATCTTTCTCTGTAGACTGCAATTGTTTCGTTCACGGGAAAAGGAGAAAATATTAATTCGCACTTATTTTGACACGTGAATTTACTGTCGTCAAAAGAGAGCTAAAATTTGACAACTCTTTGATCTCTTGCAACCAACACCATAAATATGAACAATCGAAAAACTTCGCCATTGCAACAATCAGTGAAATTGCCATTCAAGGTGCTTCGACCAGACATTAAAAAATTTTCCAAGTAATTCGACTTCTACTGGTTCTAATTTCATTAAATAACAATAGTATCTAAAGTAATAATTTTTTTCTTTGTTTTTCAACTGCATTTGTTTGCGTAAAATGAACAATGCAAGGAAGATTACGGCAGATGATTTTTTACTGCTGTTGTGATGATGGACCAATATGCATTGTCCCACATATGTTGTCCCGTCTTTTGTCTAAGACCTGATTAGTTACATTTGTTCAGCAACATGAGCAAGGTTATGCTTCGAATCGAGCTAATTTTTTCCCATTAATAACCACGTTGTGTTTATTAAGCGTAACCTTTTTCTCATAATGATAAGAGGAATATCAGTTTGAATTTTAAAAAAATGATTAGATTTTTTTCCTTAAATATTGAACTGCAACATGCTGATAAAATACGGAAATTTATGTGTATGATAGTTGAGTAGTTATTAAAATCCGATTTCGAGACTGGTCTAAATGGAAGATTGAATGAGTAAAACGCGTGGTTGTGCATTTGCTTCTTAACCAAGCCAGACCGGTCTGCTTTAGACTGTCATCTAGCGAAATCACGTCTGTGCGACAGTCTGCCGGTGATCGAAATCCAGACAAGGCGTCAGCTGAGAAGATCTCTCAATGCAGCGACGGTCAACGCGGTCAAAAACTTCATACAGCTGGCTTCAGCTCAAAAAATAATTGTTATGTGTGGAGCCGGAATTTCTACCGGTGAGTTGGACTCATGATGCAGTGCTATTAAATGAACCTCGGATAATCGTTCGATTTCAGCCGCTGGCATTCCCGACTTTCGATCACCGGGTACAGGCATTTACTCGAAACTACAGGAGGCTGGTTTGACATGTCCAGAGGAAGTGTTTGAAATCCAGCACTTCACCGTATGCACTTGATGTTCGACCGAAACTTGAATGACACAGTTGTTTTAAGCGCCATCCCGAAACATTTTACGAAGTGCTGAGGAGCATCTGGCGATCAGACGTGCATCCAACGGTTGCGCACTTCTTTATGAGACTCCTGCATGATAAAGGCCTACTTTTGCGTGTTTACACGCAGGTATGCGTATTTTTTGCCAGTTCTTATGAATTTATTCAATTTCAATTATTGCCCTGAAAAATAGCAGTGACCCTCACTTTTACGATCCGGATCAGCAAAGCAATTTTTCGAGCATTGCACGAAATAATCAATGGCCTTTCAACCCAATCTGATGTCGTAGCAACGATTAATCAAAATGTCATTGCATGACTGCCATGTTTTGTGGTAATCTGCATCGACTAGGAAAAATCGATGCAATTTTTATTACAGTACTTTGACAGTACGCGAAACCATTTGAGTTTCATTCGGACAAAAATGCTCTTTTTGCTAAAGTCAGGACGTTGAGCAAAACATCAATTTATATAGTTTGGGGAAATGCGAAGCGGCATAATTATATCATGTTATGAATGTTGTTCAAGTGTAGAAAGGATAAATGAAGTTCACGTTTATTAAAGTGGAGGTTACAGTCAATCTCATGAGCAATGAGTTTTATCCAGCTAATTAGTAGTTATTGTTTAGAACATCGATGGATTGGAACGAGCAGCCGGGATCCCAGTCCACAAAATAGTACAAGCTCACGGCACCCTCGATAGCTGCCACTGTCAGCACTGTCAGGCAGTACACCCAATTCATTACTTGAAAAGTAAGCAAATTTCACACATACTTTCTTCTCAGTATGGTCTGCACAGGCCAGGCAGCAAAAGTGGCGGTCCCGCGCTGCGTCGTCTGCAAAGGCACACTCCGACCCGACATCGTATTTTACAACGAAGATCTGCCAAGCAGATTTTTTGATCTCTTGGACAGAGATTTTCAGGAGTGCGACCTTCTGATAGTCATGGGTACGTCGTTGACCGTAACACCCTTCAATCAGTTAATTGATAAGTATGTTTTCTCCAGTGTATATGTACCCGCAGTAAACCTTACGTTTTAGAGTACGCAGCGATGTGCCCAGACTGTTGATCAATGGAAAAGTAGTTGGTGTGGTAAGTACAGATAAAATGGCTGTTGTGACGTTCCAATCATACTTCTGCAGTTCCCTACTCTGTTTCATTCGCCATGAAATTTTTTGTACAAGAAAGCTTTCGGGAGCATTCTGGCTTCTGTAGTTATGTCTCCATCTGATGTTTGATTTTTTTGACATAATTAAACAGTTCATAATGGCAATTGTAATGTGATCTCATCGTATAGCTGCCAGCAATTGCACCTAGTTTGAGCCGCTTACAACCTTTTACCACGCCTATGGTTACCGGATAATAGATTTTTGCCCGTGCCTGTGTCGAATTTCACCGTCAATTTTCATGAAAATCATTTTACTCTGAGGGTAGTTCTTCAAGAGATGAATTTTTTGAATCTCTTCTATTGAGGACTTATTATCAAAACTTTCATATTCATTAAATTAGATTAGTATCTTTGAAATAACCCGACGGTATATGGCGGTTTTGTAGAATACCTATTGCCAATTCGTAGTTGTATTTCATGTGTTATTTACCATAGCTTATCCGAGCCTGCGCAGAATGAGTGATAATTGTATCATATGTTAATGCACACTGAATGAAGGGTTGCCATGAGGAAGACGTCAGAGTTGGTTATTTCGCTCTTCTCGCTTTTCACCATATCATAGACTATGTCCCTTCAGTTTGGGACCTTGAGGAAAAGTTCCTCAAATCTCCTGATGGACAGATACTTGAAAGTAACCTCAAAGCCGCTTCCGCTATCAAACTTTTAGGCGGATCATATGCGCTCTAAAGCAAACATCGAAAAAGCTTTTATCATTCAGAACCAAAAGCGATCAACATGTTTTAGCATTTGTATTTGCTATTCAGCGTTTTCGTTTGTGCAGCAAGGCAAAACTGCTACCGGAAGAGAACTTTAGTCATACAGTTAAAATATAGACTAAAAGGCTTCATTTAGAAAACGGAAGAGAAG